GGGGCCCGGGGGGGACCTGGGGGGGACGGGGGGTGGAAGAGGTTGGGTTTGGCCGCCAGGGGGCGCCACAGAACGCGGGACCCGGGACTGGATTTGAACTGAAATCGGCGAGATTTGGGGATACCGGGGAGAAATTCCTCCCTGGGAGGGTGGGCATGCCCTGGAACAGGGTGCCCAGAGGAGATGTGGCTGCCCCCGGAATTCTGGAAGTGTCCAAAGCAAGGTTGGACGGGACTTGGAGCAATCTGAGATAGAGGAAGGTGTCCTTGCCTATGGTGAGAGGTCGGAACGTGACTTTAAGGTTCCTTCCAACCCAAACCATTCCGGGATTCTGGGTGTCTATGAAATGGAAAAGCGAGGCACAGCCGGAACCGTTCCCGGGCCAAGGACCAGAGCTGGCTCCTTTACTCCTCCCTTCCCAGGGATTCTCCAGCATTTGCAGGTCCCACCCAGCCCTGCCTTGCCCGTGGGTCCCCACCCTGCCCGCGGGTCCCCACCCTGCCCTGTCCCACCCACGCATCGCGCCCCTGCCACGGGGCTCAGCCCAGCCCACCGCCGATCCCTGCCTGTGGGGTCTGCCCTGAGCTTGTTCCCCCCACCCAGGGCCACCATTCTGCCCCCAGTCCACCCCAAACCCCTGGTCCCCCCACTCCATTCCCACTCCGGGTCCTTGTCCTGCCTCCCAACTCCATCTCCGTGCAGGGCCACCACCCTGAGCCCATCCACTCCCACCCCCCTGGTCCCTGTCCTGTCCCAAAACCCCGAGGGGCGACACGCACAGGAGCGGGAGAAGCCACCACAGGTTGGGTGGCGCTGGGAACAAGAGCTGCCTCCCCCTTTTGAGACGCGGGGGAATCGCCCCAAACAAGGGGTCTGGGGGAGTGGGAGCCCCTCACCCCGCTGGGAAAAGCGCTGGGTTGCGTTCGGAGCCGGGGGGGCGAGGGGGGCAGCAATTCTTCCGCATGAGTTGCCCCTTTGAAAGCTCGTCTAGGGGCTTTGTGAGCGTGTCAGGCAGGAAGAATGGAGGGAGGGGGGCAGCGGGGCAGGCAGAGGGGAGGGGGCTGCCCAGGAAGGTGGTGGAACTGTGGGGGGAAAGGGGAAAGAGAGACGAGGAGGAAACAGGGGGCAGAGGGCAGAGAAGGGGCTCTCACCTGTCCCCTGAGCTTGGCAGGAGAGTTTGGGGCTCTCAAACCTCCTGACGGGGCTGAGGAGGTTTGCAGACCCTTCCCCTAAAGTTTGTGGGGTTATGGGGTGACCCCAGCCCGCTGTGCACGCTGCTGCTCAGGTGTGTGCACACAAACAGCACAAAGGTGCACGTGTTTAGGTGAAAAATTCTCAAAACCTGACCCAAAACTCACACGGATCCTTCAAAGTTTGCATCTATTTACAAAAAATCCTGAAAAAATCCCTTAAAGTTTGCATCTCCATACAAACTTTAAGATAAAAATATACTAACTTTGAAATGCCATAGAGACAAACATTGTTAAAAGAGAAATAAAACTAGAAACAAGTTTAAAACGCTTAAAAACACATTATAAGCCAAGAAATGCTTATAATGAATTGTAATTAAGAAATAGTTGGCTTCTGATTGCGATGGTGTGAATTAGAACACCTGTATTGTCTCACTCTTCACGTGAGACTGAAAATGGAATAAAAGTTATTAAAACACCTCTGAGTTGCCCCGTATTTGGGTCAGAAAAGTGAAAAATCCAACAAATGTGCACCTGGGAGGTGATGGGGGTTGGGGGTCAGCAAACCCCCACCTCCCCCTCCCCACCACCTGAGAGCCCTGGTGAGCACCAGCCCTGTCCCCTGCTCTGGGCAGCCCCAGGGTCACACACCTGGCACACCTGTGTGACAGGGGACACACACAGAGCTCTGCATGAACGGGGAGAGAGCTCAGAGCTCATCCTGCTCCACGAGCAGGGACATTTCCACCAGCCCAGGTGGCTCCAAACTGCTCTGGGACATTTCCAGGCTTCCACACATGTGTGCCCAGTGTGTCACTACAGCACAGCTCACACTGTCCCCACCTCAGCACCGCTGATTTTCACACCACATCCCTCCCCAGAGCTGTGTCCCCCTTTTTTCCCCTTCCAGCCCCCCGTGTGCCAGCTCTGGACAGCCCTGGAGCACAGGGTCACACACCTGTGTGACAGCAGCACAGGTACAGCCCAAGGAACACACACAGAGCTCTGCATGAACAGGTAAACACCCACAGCACATGAGAATCACAGCGTGGCCAGGAGAGAGCTCAGAGCTCATCCTGTCCCATGAGCAGGGACATTTCCACCAGCCCAAACTGCTCTGGGACATTGCCAGGCTTCCACACACGTGTGCCCAACGTGTCACTGCATGTGGGGACACACAGGTACAGCACAGCTCACACTTTTTCCACCTCAGCACCCCTGATTTTCACACCACTTCCCTCCCCAGGGCTGTGTCCCCCTTTTTTTCCCCTTCCAGCCCCCCCGTGCCAGCCCTGGAGCACAGGGTCACACACCTGTGTGACAGCAGCACAGGTACAGCTGAGGGAACACACAGAGCTCTGCATGAACAGGTAAACACAGGGAGGGAGCTCAGAGCTCATCCTGTCCCATGAGCAGGGACATTTCCACCAGCCCAAACTGCTCTGGGACATTGCCAGGCTTCCACACACGTGTGCCCAGCGTGGGGACACACAGGTACAGCACAGCTCACACCTCAGCACCACCTGATTTTCACATCTCCTCCCTCCCTGGGGCTGTGCCCCCCTTTTTTCCCCTTCCAGCACCCCCTGTGGGGGCTCTGCTCCCTCCTCCAGTGAGCGTGGGGGTCCCACTGTGCTGAGGCAGCGCTGGGTGAGGTGAGGAGGGGTCTGCTGAGCAGAGCCAGCCTGGCTAGCTGGGTGCCAGGTGGGTGCCAGGTGGGTGCCAGGTGCCATTCCCCCAATCCCCCACATCCTCAGAGCTCAGCACACAACCCCAAAAGCATCACTGCGAGCCACAGCATGCTCCCCCCAACCCCGTGGGGTCCACAGGGGCTCCCCAAAACGCGGTGGTCCCCCGAGCCGAGGGGGCTGGGAGCGCTGGCAGCCAATGGGAAGCGCCGGGAAGCCACGGGAAGCAATGGGAACCATCCGGAGTCTCGCCCACCGCCGCGCTGCCTCCCCCGCCGGCCGCACACCGCCGCGGCCCACCCAAGTCGCAGCCTTTGGGCATAAATTTGAGAGCCAGGCGCAGGCGGGATGAGGGGAATCTTCCCTCGCTCTCCTCCTGCCAAGAAACTCAAACTGAAACACATTCCTGCTGCTCTCTGCCAAGAAAACCAGGAGCGCAGCCAGCGGCGGGAGCGCTCGGAGCAGCGCTGGCTCCAGACGCCCAAACGAGGAGCGGGAGGGGGGTCCGGGCTGGCCGCCCCCCTCCCCCGCCAGCTCCTCGCCTTTTATTTCCTGCAAACACATCGAAAATCTGTCATCTGGCTCCAGTTTCCTGAGGACACCGCGGAACGGGGCCGGCGGGAGAGGGGAGGGGATGGAGGGGAAGGGGACGGAGGGAGTTGGTGGGGGGGGGGATCACGGTGACACCGAGGGGTGCTGGGGCAGCTGGTGGGGGACAGACGTGGGCACTGACAGCCCGGGGACACCGGAGGAGGAGGAGGAGGAGAAGGCTGCAATTCCCCCCACCCCAGCACCCCAAGATGGGGAAGACCCCCACCACAGCCTAGACAGGATCTGCAGACCCCCCACCACACCCTGGACAGGACAGACCCCTCCCCTCGAGCATCCCACGATGGGACAGACCCCCACCACACCCTAGACAGACCCCCCTCGAGCACCCCATGACAGTGCAAACCCCACCTCAGCTCCCTGGAAGGGACAGACCCCCCCTCGATGGGGAAGACCCCCCCCTCGAGCACCCAGGACGGGACAGACCCCCCCTCCTGCTCCCACGGGCACCGCGAACGCTCCCACTCCCCCCCAAAGACTGCAGCAGGGCGGCTCCCACCCCTCCCAACCCCAGGGTGGGGGTCCCCGAGCCCCCCCGGCCCCGGCAGGGTTAACAGCCCCGCAGCCCCAGGGTGGAGGAATGCGATGTCAGGGCTGGATTAGCCCCCGCCACGCCGCAGCCGAGCTGTGTGTGGCACAATCCATCACCCGCCGGCACAGCCCCCGGCGTGGGGGGCCCGGGGGGGCTCGGGGGGCTCGTGTGTGAGGGGGGATTTGGGGTGTGGGGGATGATGGAGGGGTGGGGATGGCGGTGGGGGGTGGGAGTAGAGAAACCCAAAAATCGAGGGGTGGTGGGAGCAGAGACACCCCAAAACTGATGAGAGGTGGGAGCAGAGATAC